ATTTCAAACTAAAAAAAAAAAAAAAAAAAAAAAATATTCAGACATTAAAAATTAATTAAAGAAGAAATTAAAAGTTTTATGAAAAAGTTTCTATAAATTAAAATTAAAAATAAATATTTAAATAATAATTTTCAGTATTTAGTAAAGAAACAGAGAAGTATACTCACTCTCACAGTCTTTATCATTAAGAATATTTCTCGTTTATTTTTTAATTAATTTCTTTAAAGAAAATTTTTCTTTATTTATTTTCACATATAAAACTAAAAATTATTGGTTAATTTCATAATTTCTGATACAGGATATTGCAAATTCTTTATTATTATATCTCTTATCACGTTAGGAATATATTTAACATATATTTATTGCTTGTAATTTTCGTGATATAGAGTGCTAAATATTAATTAATGAATTATAATGTTAAGATCAGGGAAAAACAATTGGATTCGAATATTTAAATATTATACTAACATAAAATTATTCCAGAAGTGTTTTAGTGTGAATATTTTAAAAATTATACGACTTAAAATGTATTGGAGAGAACAAAACAACCGTACTATAACAGGTTCTTCAATAACACGTTACATCTGTAGCATCTGTATCATAGTTTGTAGTCGTATACATTGACGTAATGCATCAAATTTACTAAAATTTCAGTCGTATTTTCGTGTTCAGTTGACGTTCTTTCACTATTGAATAGAAAACAACCCCTGGAATTATAGGTTTTTATATCTTATAACTCTGTACGTAGCAGTCGTTCAGTTAAAGATATGGTTTTACAGAAAATAAACATTAAATATATATTATTCGTATTATAAATTATTTTTTAGCTTTATACGCAACTTTCTGTTTTTTTGTAGCAGTTTCTAAACCATTATATCTTCTATTTCCTAGCATTATAAAGTTAAAGCATTGTCAAATACTCTTGTGATAAGTGTACTCGAGTCTTTAAAAAAAGGAATTAAAAATTGAATGAGTTATCTGGATAAAGTATCTTATTTGTAAGTCACGTTATTGTCTCGCAGCACGAACTACTTCATCTCGAATAAATAAGAGAAAAATAATAATAAATTTATTTTTAAAAAATATGTATATAACATTTTATCGATATTTTTTTAGTAATAAAATTGCTGATCAAATTCTAATATTATTCACTTTTTTAAATTTCAAAATATAAAATTTAGGAATTTTGTTATAGTTTTAAGAAAATATAGATCCAATATTCGCCTATAAGTTCGGAATACTTTACTATAAATAAAAATATATATATAACTTTTCTCTTATTGAATTTCTAAAACGTTTTAAATGAAGAAGTGAAAAAGTTGAACCAAATAAAACTTGAGAAATAGCGTCATAAAATGAATTTTATAAGTTATCCAACTTCCTCTCTAAAATTTATTTATTATTAGTTCAATATTGATGTAGTTAATGGCCAAGAATGATCTTAATTATAAACTAAAATGAAGAGATAGGGTGGTTCAGATTTTAGTCCATAAATTAGTCCTAAATTAAAATAATTATATCTATATAAATTACATAGAAAATATGTTAAATAAAAGCTAATTTTATTAATAATAAAGCTGATAAAACTGAAGAAATATGAAACACAGTTTCTTATATTTTCGTAAAATTACCAAGTTAAAAGTCGTCATTTCTACACTAAGTATTAATGAAATAAGAAATAAAAATATAATATAATTATAATTTCGTGTAATATAATTTTTAATTAATTTTATATCATCATTTAGAATGTTCTTTTTAGAATTTAAATGCTAAATTTTAAACGATTTTAATCTTTAAGTTTGATGTTGGCTTCTCTGCACGATTCGCGAGCACGGCAGAGAAAACGGATTTACAGGAGGAGCTCTTCTAACATGAGAAGCATCACTTTTGCTACTCGTTATTTTTGAAGGAGCCGTGACTTACTGTGGTTGGTAAACAAAAGTCTAATTATTCGAAAGTTCTAAATAATCTGTTTGAATTATTAAATCGTACTTTTTACTTTCTAAAATTAAATGTTTAATATAATGTTTAAATGGCATTAAAATCGTTTAAACATTATTAGAAAATAAAAATCTAATGACAATTATGTCAAAATTTATTTATATCCATTTATTTTTATTTGTTTAGTCAATTGTTGTTTTTATAATTATAATTTTGAATAATTTTTAAGTTTCTATGTGTTATATTTAACAAAATTCTTCCTTTTCATATCGATTTTCCTACTAACAGATTTCAGAAAGTACTCCTCTCATCAATTGAATAACGTCATATTACTAGAATCTTTCTATAATATCGAGGTGTTAATCAAATTTAAATTACGAAATATTCTTAGAAATTTTAATAATTTTTCAGATTTTTTCCCCGAATATTTTTAAAATTTGTCTACGTGTTCATGACGATAGTTGAAGCAATGTGAAACGTGTCGCCATCTTTTGAAAAGAAAAGAAATTCTTTTTCGGATTCTTTTTTTTTATTTTCTTGTTATTGAACGTATGACATTGCTGAAAATGCAAAAAAAAAAAAAAAAAATATTCAGACATTAAAAATTAATTAAAGAAGAAATTAAAAGTTTTATGAAAAAGTTTCTATAAATTAAAATTAAAAATAAATATTTAAATAATAATTTTCAGTATTTAGTAAAGAAACAGAGAAGTATACTCACTCTCACAGTCTTTATCATTAAGAATATTTCTCGTTTATTTTTTAATTAATTTCTTTAAAGAAAATTTTTCTTTATTTATTTTCACATATAAAACTAAAAATTATTGGTTAATTTCATAATTTCTGATACAGGATATTGCAAATTCTTTATTATTATATCTCTTATCACGTTAGGAATATATTTAACATATATTTATTGCTTGTAATTTTCGTGATATAGAGTGCTAAATATTAATTAATGAATTATAATGTTAAGATCAGGGAAAAACAATTGGATTCGAATATTTAAATATTATACTAACATAAAATTATTCCAGAAGTGTTTTAGTGTGAATATTTTAAAAATTATACGACTTAAAATGTATTGGAGAGAACAAAACAACCGTACTATAACAGGTTCTTCAATAACACGTTACATCTGTAGCATCTGTATCATAGTTTGTAGTCGTATACATTGACGTAATGCATCAAATTTACTAAAATTTCAGTCGTATTTTCGTGTTCAGTTGACGTTCTTTCACTATTGAATAGAAAACAACCCCTGGAATTATAGGTTTTTATATCTTATAACTCTGTACGTAGCAGTCGTTCAGTTAAAGATATGGTTTTACAGAAAATAAACATTAAATATATATTATTCGTATTATAAATTATTTTTTAGCTTTATACGCAACTTTCTGTTTTTTTGTAGCAGTTTCTAAACCATTATATCTTCTATTTCCTAGCATTATAAAGTTAAAGCATTGTCAAATACTCTTGTGATAAGTGTACTCGAGTCTTTAAAAAAAGGAATTAAAAATTGAATGAGTTATCTGGATAAAGTATCTTATTTGTAAGTCACGTTATTGTCTCGCAGCACGAACTACTTCATCTCGAATAAATAAGAGAAAAATAATAATAAATTTATTTTTAAAAAATATGTATATAACATTTTATCGATATTTTTTTAGTAATAAAATTGCTGATCAAATTCTAATATTATTCACTTTTTTAAATTTCAAAATATAAAATTTAGGAATTTTGTTATAGTTTTAAGAAAATATAGATCCAATATTCGCC